AGCAGACTGCGAAAGCCGACTACACATATATGGGTCGCGAGCGAGGAGGAGCTGGTCTGTACTCGCTTCTTCTTGGTCTTTAGCGAGGCCGAGCACTTCAGTTTGAATGTCAGCACCCTGAAGCTGGACAAGGAGATCCGCACGCTTGTGGAGAGAAGCCGGTAAGGGACAGTCCTGGTGCCAGCGCAGCCCAGCGCAGCCAGCGCCGAGAAGCCTAGAAATGATTCCTGAGCTGACCCACAAGTGCAAGCGGAAAGGCGAAGGCTCTTGGACCATAATTACTTAAAGGATCATGGGACTTAGTAAGTAGGGTTATATTTAGGGTAACTATACTTATAACCCCAATTGGGGGACTTACAACCTTACTTACTCAGTCCCATGATCCTCCAAGTATTGGACCATAATTAGCGATTGTTCTGAATGACTCTTTCCTGCGTTTGAATCACATATTGACCTGTCGTGGGCTACGGCATGGAGTAGTAACGACCATAAGAACAATCGTAGAAGTAATAATGCCATGACCTCGAAGAACGACGGCAACACAAATGCCATTAACGCTAATTATAACTGTTGAAAATAATAATAATAGTAGTAATAATAATAATCATAATAATAATCATAATAATAATCATAATAATCATAATAATAATAATAATACTAATACTAATAATAATAATAGTTATGAAGAAGCCCTTCCGAAGATTGCCAGGCAGAGAAGTTGCGACAGGCCCTCCTTGAGCGAAAGAAGCAGGAAGCAGAGGCAGACTGACCTGTCACGCCTTCTAGATGAACGCATTCATCAAAAAACTGTATGTATATACATACAATTATGTACGTACTCTCTCTCTATCCCCCTCACTCTCTCTCTCTCTCTCCCTCTGTCTCTGTCTGTCTCTCTCTCCGGCCTGACCCACTGGCAATGTCCATGCTGCACTAAGCTTTGCGGTGGTGCTGGGCGAATGGCCGAGACCCGATTCAATTCTCGGCCAAACATTGCAGAATTTGTATGAGGTTGCATGAATACTTCTGAATGCTGCTAAGGCCCGCATTAAACCTTTGATCGATCAAGTGCGGTGGCGCAACAACACCGCAGCACAGCTTGGTTTTGTTACATTATCCCCTTCTAGTTTCCATGGCTCCGTCCGTCTTTCTACTTTGCCGGGAAATTGCGATGTGGCTTGCACTCTGGAGACGATTCTGAGGGGCTGTTTGCGGCTTCCGCTCCCCCCTGGATGCTGACGCTGGTTCTGTTACATGTTGTTATGTGAGTGTGAAGGCTGATCGTATGTGATTTTCCTCCTTACAGGCCATGGTGTTAGCCATTCTGGACAACGCCTGTGGGTTCGGATTTATGGTTCTGGTTTGGGCTAACCGACTGAGTCCGAGAGGGCTCAAAGCCAACGGTTGGTGTTTTTTCGGTGCAGATTCGACCCTAAATGCTCAGCCAAACCCGAACCCCTGAACTCCTTAAGCCCTGCATTGTGCGAGTGTGCCAGTCGACACTCCCTAAGCCGTATCTTCTTCATCGTGCATCTTCAGGAGGAGAAGAAGAAAGCTGAAGCCGACCTGCGCCGAAAGGCCGTGTAGCTTAGAGTACCTGTCATGGCAACAGTTCAAGGTTCAGGGTTTGCGGCTTGGGGATTAGGCGTCAGGGTTGAGGGTTTAGGGCCGCAGCAGTCACGAGGACAGACGTTCTTGCAGAGTTGGCTGCGACTTTCTTCCGTAGTAAGCGTAGTACAGTGGAGAGGAGGGCTTTGGTTCAGTTTCGGTCCAGATGACCCTGGTCCACTTGGAGGATCATGGGACTTAGTCAGTGGGGTTATATTTAGGGTAACTATGCTTATAACCCCAATTGGGGGACTTATAACCTTACTTACTAGGTCCCATGTGAACCTCCAAGCATGCATGGCAGCGAGGCAGAGGCTGAGAGGATGAAGAAAGAAATTGAAGCCAAGCATCAGAAGGTTCTGCCGATTCCGGTGTGGACCTCATGAGTCGGAAATGAAACTCTGCAAGCCTGTCAATAACCTATCCTTTGTGTATGAAAGCGATCACATTCTGCTGGCTTGATATGTGCCATGGCCAAGCAGGGTCTGCTGCGAAATGTCGGTCAGGAGCCCTCTGATGAGATTCCGATGCCTTGCTTTGATGTCTTCAAGGGTGGCAATCGCATTGGACGCTGAGCTGTTTGTGAAGCTGGGATGGGTCGCATGCTCGCCTGTCAGCAGCGCAGTGAGTTTATTGTGCATTAGGGAGGGCATCAGTGCAACGAGCGGTTGTGGCCGAACAAAGGACGATTTCTCCTCAAACCCCAGCAGAAGTCCTGGCTGGTGGGTCGTGCTCCAGTGGGGGTCGATTTCCGTCTCGGCCGGAACCTCAGACGGTTTCAGCCGGAACCCGAAGCATTCAAAAGAAGTGACGGCGAACTTTTCTGCAGCATCTGTGCTGCTGTACTGGCTGAGGCCACGAGACCATCTCGCGGAAGCATGCCCAGGTGCGGCCGGATGTCCTACCACCACACCAGCGCACGATGGTTCGCAGTTCCTTTGTATCTGACACTCAGAAGAGGGCCGTTCACCTAAAGCTGCACTATATATATATATATTAATATTATGTATATACATACACAATGTATAAATCAGTAAATGAAAAATCATGAAAATCTAGTTAACTATGTATGTTTATCGATGGCATGACGTGTGTGTGTATGTATGTGTTTATGTATATACATATATATATATATATACAGTATGTTGTATGCATGCATGTCTGTCTCTGTCTCTGTCTCTGTCTCTGTCTCTGCCTCTGTCTCTGTCTCTGTCTCTGTCTGTCTGCATGCATGCATACATACATGCATGCATGCATGCATGCAATATGTATGTATGTTTTTGCGTGAGACATACATATGTTGGTCGATTGTGAGCCGTGCCAGGTTGGTGACAAAACCATTAGGTGTATGCATGTGCATTCTTCTATATATATCTATATATCTTCGTATGTACACTTTGATGACTCGCTGGCTGCCATGGTCGGCAGGTGAACCGACAGGGCTGCTTCACGTTTCTGCAAGACCTCGGTTCAGCGCATGGTACTTCTCTCAACGGGCAGAAGTTCCTTGGCCAAGTTTTTAAGCAGGTTGCCGCAGGTGTCGCTTGGCTTTCAATGACTGTGTCAATCATCGCACGCTATTGCAACTTGGTGTCGGTGAAGTGGGCTTCTGGGAGCAAATCCATCATGGTGCAAAAAGAGGTTGGCGAAGAACACGTCGGTGCCCCGGAAGACTTGAGTCGCGTGCAGACGGGGGGAAGCTGTATGGGCTTGTCGAAGTCTGCCGCCGAGTCGGATCATGGTTTGACCACAGCAACAGCCACATTTTTGGTTTATCTACTGCGGCTTCGGTTCAAGCTGATACCCATCGCCGGGAGATCGGAGCCTTTGCTGAGCCGCCTTGCTGGCATGTTTCTCCTTTGCTGGACTTCTGGAGCTTCGGATCCAAGTCGAATCTGCCGTGGGCCAGGACCTGCGCAATGCCAGCTGGCATAAAGAACGCTTTCGCCGCGCTCGGCAGTCCGGACCTCAGATGCTGTCTAAGGGGAGCTTTCCGAGCTTTCCTTCGAGCATTCTGCAGTATGCTGTGCTGAGATTCCGATTCGGAAGAGGCTGCGGCTGTGCCTCAAGAGTTGAATGTTTGCAACTGAGAAAGAAAAAAGTCCTGTGTTTGTAGGAAGAGGCGCCAGAGAAGCCGGCGGTTGAGGAGGCATACGAAGCGGCGCCCGTAGAAGTGGAGCCGGACGGGGAAAGGGTCAGGCGAGTGTCGTGGCGTGCTTGATTGCTACTCAACTCAACCAGGAGCAGAAGAAGAAGGGCAAAAAGAAGGGGAAGGCAGGAGCCCCGGTTTTGGCTAACTAGCATACTAGGTCAACCTCGTTGTGTTGTTCGTTGGACGCCGGCTTTGTGGAGCCTTCCGTGGGAGATATGTGTCCTCCTCCAAGGCTGAGACCACTGCCGCCGCTGCCCCTGCTCCGGTGCCTTCTGCACCTGCAGAAGTGCCAGCGGCCGCGCCCCTTTTGTTGCGGCAGACCTCTGCTGTTTTACTTCACGATGTTATTGACTAAGAAGGCCAAGACAGCACCCAAAGCAGTGGCGACACAGAAGGACAGACTGTTTGAGTCGTTGTTAGTGCTGCGGCCCGCCCTGCATCCTTTCACCACTTTGCTACTGTGTGATGAGGAGCCACAGGTTGCACAGAGAAAAGAAAAGAAAGAGAAAAGCGACAAGAAGGACAAGCCGGCAGTCGCCTCGAACCTCGCCAGACACTACACTACGGACACTAGTGCACCCGGCACGTGCCGCATGACGGAGAATGTGCAGACTCGCATTGGCAGCTTCTGAATCCGATTGTGAGCAAGTAGTAGTAGTAGTAGTAGTAGTAGTAGTAGTACTAGTAGTAGTATTAGTAGTAGTAGTAGTAGTAGTAGT